ATCGCTTACTCGGTATCCCGCTTCGCAAAAGAAAGTAACATTCGAGAAACAGGTATTAAATTGTCAGAAAACACTAGCAGCACGAATAAATCACTAGTTAGCATCTGATTTAGCATCGCGATGCTACGATCAGATTATTCGTCGGATCATATCGAACACTGGGGTTCTTTTAGGGTTCACTAGGGTTATTTTTTAACAGTTTTGTGCCGAAGACATGCAACGTTCGCGTCACGGAAATATTCTGACGCTTCCCTAATTCTTGCTATCTGATGACCGTCCGTACGGGGGTACGATAAACATCGCCGTAAGCGCTCATTAAACGCCCGAAACCCGTCTCGTATGAATGGACCCGAAGCTAGTTCCCAATCTCCACCTCCAATCAATCTAGCACCGCGGCTAGTGACACCGGCTATCGCCCATCAGCGATTCCGCGTCTCACCTTAAAGCCGCAGCCCGCGCGTTGCCAGTTTCGCATACAAATACGCCAACTAGCCGAGCGTGGCACTCCGCCGAGTGGGCGAACCGCCCGGCATCTGATAGCGGCCGCAATTACGTACGTGACACCTCGCGAGCTCGCCCGGATAAGATCACACGCCAGTGTTGGGAGCGCCTCCAATTATTACTGCTCCCATCACCGGGCTCGTTACATAAGGTTGCGGTAAAAAATGGGCTTTTACGACCTCCACGGCCGCGATTCATGCGGCCGATTGCGCCGCTTCGCTTTCGTCGGCTCCATCGGCGCATGTTACACCTTAGCGCGGTGAACGTTTTGAGGTCGCGTTTGTGAACTCTTGCCTTTTCTCCTTATGACGGTACGGCAGTATGTGTACGGAGTTTGATGACTCCGTGGCGCAGTTGCCAAGGTATTGGCTTCGGCCTCGGGGGTCGTGGGTTCGATTCCCACACGGGACAATTATTTGTGTGGCCCACAGAGAGTTGTTTCGCATCCGGGTGTTTGTCCGCGTGAAATTTATGTTTGTAAAATGTCCTTACAACACAGGATAATGTTATCCTAAAGTAAGGGTAATGTTTTAAAAAAAAAGAAAGAAAAAAGAGTATTACAGAGGTCTTACTTATAAGTACTAGTTAATAATGATAGTTATTGCTCTTTAACCTGAATTTGTGCGAATGTTTCTTTGCTATAGGAACAAGAATGAGCCACGCAGCAGCTTTTGCTGTTGCTAGAATAGACAGATTCTAGAGGGTACCATCAACATCAGTACCGTGATGTCACCGTATGGTAATATAAGAATGTGCATTAATAAAATTAATAAATGATAATTATTCATCAATTATTAAAGGTATCTTATTGTGAAGAACAAACGTTAACTTTATTCTACTTTACTATTTATTGCCAATAACCTCGAACATATTATATTAGATGAATAAATATGGAAGTAATGGTGTACCTACAAATAAAACACCTTTGAGAAATAATACATGTATAGAGATTAACATTTCATCTAATTGAAAGGTATAGGTAATGGGGGCAAATACTCTTGAAGGTGGAAGGTTGACAATCTGCAGGCCGTGCAGTCCATATATTATGGTAGTGTACCAGCTCAGAGGTCAGTAACATTCTATTCACTCTTATCCTATATAGGCCTAAATTACATTCGGACGGAAGAGCCCTTTGCAATAGTGTCTTCAATTTTCCTTTATAATTTTTGATTAAATATAATCGCCTAGTATTTTTTCGTTTCTTCTACACAATGACAGCGACTAAATTCAACCTCATTGATACATTCGCATTATTACTTCATTCATAGGTAGGATATTTTCCAAATGCTTGTTCTTTAAAAATGCGTAACACATTGATATTTTTAGCAGATGGCAAAAACTCCATGACACGATATCGAAGATTATGTTCGGAAACTTATAGGCTGTAACGGTATCCTTGTCGTTTTCTGGAATCTGGCATACATACGTCTTTTGACAACGGTTTACAGAATCTCTAGCGCAGCGCCTGTGATTAAAACCAGAAAACGTAGGTTCGAAGATTTTGTAAATTTATCTACAAAAATTAGCATTTAAAACCCGTTTTTCGTTTTTTTTTATGTTTAAAGTTGGAAGCGAGCGGGCGATTGCGAGGGCGGAAGAAATATTTATTCGGTGCATCACATTACAAGAGAAAATTAAAGAAAATGAAATAACACGAGGATTGTAAAGAAGTGTGCACCAAATAGGTCTCCGCTCAGTATATAGAGCTGCGGCAGACAATACCACGGCACTAATTTTACTGTATGTATGACAAACAGCTGTTTCGCTGTAAAAGTTTTTTAATTAATTAATTAATTATTAATAAACATTTTCGGACATATTTTTTACACAATGTTCTCTAGTCCCAAACTAAGCAACGCTTGCACTATGGGTACTACATAACTGATAAACATACTTAAACAAAATTTTCTTTTGTAAATTAATACAAACTATACATATATAAACACCCAGACAAGTAGAATTTTTTTGTATTTTACTTTAAAGATTAAAGACGAAGAGTTTCTAATACGTGGTGGGATGTTATTCCAACACTTTGTGGAGTGGAGTATTAAATGTGGGGCATATAAGACGGCCACGAAGTCGCTGGGCGCTGTGTAAATTTTAATTTGCTGGACTTTGTTTATTTATTATCCCGAAAATTAAGGAAGCAAAGTGCGGTGCTCGCCTTGACCGCATATTCAACATTTTGCTTCTATTAAGGTATGGTGTTTTATGTCACCGGAGTGGAATTGGAAAGCATAAACGAGCACAGGAATTTTGAACACGGTGAATACCTTTTTGTGTGGGTTCTAGTAAGCACCCAGCGATAACTGTCACCTGATACTGTGAGTGACTCCTCCGCCCATGGAATTTTACAACACCTGAGAGGATGTAGATGGATTGCTAATCATTAAGTGCGCCTGGTGACGTCACTCACCAGACAAAACAGGAAAGTATAATACTTTCACTTCACACCGGTCTTCTGTGAGGCCGTCGTATTAACCCGGTCGAGCCTACCTTACAACAGCAGAAGCAGTGTGCTGTTTACGAATCGACCACAGTGTTAAACCCCTAATAGCTACTACACTCTACCCGAAAGAAGTGCTGTAATAAACAAATGATTTCCCATTGGTGGTTCTAAGTTATTTAAAAATTAAATTTGCAGTGAAAATTTAAATTTAAATCATAACTATGTGCTCATTAGCACGGATATTATTGTTTTTAAGAGATTAATCCAGACCAAAGGACTCGATCATAAAAATTGTGCGTTAGGTAACAGTATCTTTCTTATTGATTTCTTGATTTTATGCGAATATTATACATATAAAATATTCGATACTATGTACATGAAATAAAACAATTATGAATTTTGTCAATAGATTTATCTATATATTTAAATGAATAATTTTTAATTACAGCTGTCAAATTTACAGTCTCCCATCAATTCAAAGAAGCAACACTTGTCTTTTGTCTTCTGTGTAGATAATTTCAAATCAACAATATTTTGTTTTGACCTAAAACACTTGTAATTCTTTCACAAAGAGAGAAAAAAATAATGCATTTCACGTAAATCTATTACGAGTTAAACTTTTAATGTGCTTAAATTTAATGAATTCCATGGAAAATTATATTCATTTATAATTATATATTTTGTATTTTAACTACATATTTATCAACTATATATTACAAACTTTTAACTTAAAGTTAGATTTTTCTTTTATCAATCGTTTTTCTATGTGCGTTTAGTTGTTGCATTCAACAAAGGAAGGGCCGTGAATTTGTATCTCGATTATTAAATTTTACAATATAAGATTTTTATTCATTTATATTTTAAGAGACTTACAAATAGATGTGTAGAGTTAAATGGATAACTTTATTGTCGAATGCATAAATTAAACGCACAATTACCTCACAGCACAATTGACAAAACATATTTTCAAAATATGTCTATTAGTAAACACGTAAATATACCTTAAAAATTGTATTTACAAAAAAGCGATTATTATTCAATAACATTATTCTATGAAAGTGGGAGTTGAATCAATTTTATCCGGCGTGATGGGTATGCGGTAACATATTTTTTTACTTTTAACGTCATACAACAAAAGATGGCCGCTATATATTGTGAGCACCAATCTTACGTAGCTCTCGATTAAATAATTCTTAAATTTAAAATGCCCATTGGAATTCCCTAATTACAAAACGGTTTTAAATTATTTCTATGAGAATGAAAATATAACCTAAAAAGGTTGCACGGAAGCAGAAAATGTGTTGTGTGTGTGTGTGGTCACACATTACAAAAATGTAATTACGCATAATGTAATGTGCTGCGAATGAAAAAAAACTGGTGTTTTCTTTGCTAAATAGCAAAACTATTCTAATAATTTTCTTTGACAACGTATTGTTGCCAGTTCGACAATCCCATCGCGCCGGATACTAAATCCCTATTGCTATTGTGGAGAATCTAAGGTGATTACTATTGTGTCATTCATTCTACGTGCACGTCACTTGGACTATCAAAGGTCTGTTCGCAGAAATATCGGCCCAATCGGACAAGATGTAAGTATATCGTAGTATAACATTAGAATCGGTTGTTTAACGCCATACTGCATCGAACAGACGAGCCGAGGTGTTTCTACAGCAACCATTGACGAGGGACACAAACAAATTAATGTGAGAAAGTTGTAAAACAATGCGCAAACCTACTAATGTATCGATGGAAATAGATTAATTTGCGGTACAAGTACGTCGGTAGTGTTAAAATATCTACGAATGGTTGTCACAGAAGCACGCCCTGTTAATGTGCACTCGGGGAGTGACGACGCCGCGCGACGACCGCCTTGAGTGGAGCTTAACTATTTACAATCAACATGCGAATATCGGTCCGGATGGGGGTCGACGGGAAAGAAAAAAAAACAAAATAGGAACGATACAAAAACGACGCTCCGGCCGCACCGGTGTTCTGGTGCGGGGCGGCCGGGGGCTATATAAATACTATGTACAGGCTAGGTCGCGAGTCAGTCCTGGGTCTCTACGTCCAGGCCGTTGACCATTCGCTCGATGCTCTTGAGGTCGGAGGCGGGGGGCGTGGCGGCCGTCGACGTGGTCGTGGACGTGGGCGCGTCGGGGGGCGGGTCGGCGGAGGCGGCGCGGGCGGGGGGCGAGCCCGCGCGGGGCCTCGCCGGCGACGAGCTGAGGCTCCTCGCGCGCGGCGCCACCTGCTCGAACGCCGAGCCCAGCCCCGGTAGAGCGTAGGGGGCGAACCTGTGCGCCTTGCTGAGCGAGGGCGCCGGCGCGGGAGCAGGGGGCGCTGGAGGCGGCGGCAGCGAGTACTGCTGCAGCAGCGGGTGCAGGTTGAACAGCAAGCCCGGCGGCATTTGGTGCGGAGGGAAGAAGGGGGGCGGGTACAACGATGGCGGGTAGAGGTAGGGGAGCAGCGGCGGCTGCACTGGCGGCCCGAGTGAGACGTCGGGCGCCGGCGAGGGGCGTGAGGGGCCCGCGGGTGGTGAGGACGCCCGGTTGCCCCCAGAGCATGAGGAGTCGGAACCGGCCTCCTCGGCGCCCGAATCGCCGCCGCCACCCGAGCTGAACCATGCTGCGAAAGAACGCTGATGTTTAATATTACTTCTTTATTTATAGAATCTTCTTTATAACAAGTGTTATCAAGACCTAAGTCCGGCAGCGGATGGATTAATGTTGACGGTGTTTTATTAAAGCTGACAGTATCATTTGCGTTACCTCTATAGGTGGGCTCTTCATGATTTCCTCGTCTCGTTTAAATGGAAAATAGCTGAAGCTGCTGACCTGACCAATAGCGATAGCGAGATGACTTGGTAACGCAGTTGCTAAGTGATAGGTTCGCTTCTCATAGGATTGTGACAAGTATTTGTGGCCCACATATAATCATTGTTTACAATGAATTTTAGTGTTCGTTCCTAAAGATGAGTTGAAGACAGGCTGGCGGCCCATCTTAAAAATAATTAACATTTTGTTCCGATCCCATCGATTTGGTATAAGGTCAAGCAGATGACTATAGAGCATTACTTCGGCCTAACGTCTAATATAAGAACGAACTAGATTTAACAAAGTTCATAGGCACACTACTCTAGAAATTGACCATTGTTTCTTATGACCAGCGAGTGTTCTGTCCACCGCGAGGGTAATACTCACAGCTGGAGGTGTGCTGCGTGGAGGGAGGCGGCGGCGGGGGGCTGGAGGGGCCACCTACGTCAAGCGGCCTTTCGTCGTCATCATCGCGCGCGTCGGAACGCGCCGTCAGCAACGCTTGCCTGCGGTACACGGACAAACTGCTCGTGTTATCATATGCACACAAGGTTCTGCTACCTGACGAGTTGTTTATAAATAAACTAACCTAATCTAGCCTAAGAATTCCCTTTTTAAACCACTTTGACAGTCGACATTTCGTCAATCCTATCGCGCCAGATATTAAATCCCTACGAATGCGCTGTCATTTCCTCGTGTTATCATGTTTTTTTTAAATATAGCCCTTACTGTAGAATAGCATTATCCGGTGTTTGTGAGGACGTTTTACACACAGTACAATTTCACGTGTACAAACACCCAGATCCGAAAAAATTATCTGTAACAAAAACGGTGTATCCATAAAAACTAACAATTCGCTTGTCTTTAAACGTCTGGGAGTGTATTCAGTTAATTCGAACACTGCACATTAAATGAGTTACTTTTATGAATCTTAATTTTTTTAATTTTGAGAGTAGCATAAACCGAAATATTAAGTTAACGAAAAATTTAACAAGATTCAAGCTTTAGATCTCTGCAGCATGAAGAAAACCCAACCGTTAGAAGTCGTCAATATTTCAACACTATATTTTTCCAGCGCAGAGCGCTTCGAGGTAGAAAAGATACCCTCTATCTAGAAGTTGGCTAAGTGATCCCTTTGAATACTTTAATTGAAATCCAGGGCCTAAATTACGGCACTGGGTTCAGTTAAAGCGGCACCTTATAATTCAAGCCTAATCCGCCACAAGTACTAGTGAATTTCCGAGTAGTAACGTTCAACTATAATATAACTACATGAATAACGGTAGCATATTGTGAGCTTTATTCTTCAGACGTCATTTGCACATATATACCTATTTCAGACCAATAAATCTTATAGTACCTTCGTACTACTGAATCAAAAATCATTATTTCCAGTTACATATATATATATATGTGCGGGAAGTCGATTGATGCAGGTGGTTCAGGATCGTACTTCGTGGCAGTCTGTGGGGGAGGCCTATGTTCAGCAGTGGACTCAAACAGGCTGAAATGATGATGATGATGATATATATATAAGTTATCAAAGTTTATCTCGTCATAATATACATATTATATATATAATAATATGTATTCTGCAGTGCTACGGTTAGGTAACAGTTCACTCAAAATCAAAATCAAAATCAAATGTATTTATTCAACATAGGAGCATTACACTCACTTATTGATAGTCAAAACACTACCACCGGTTCGGAAAAGAAAGCCACTGTACTGAGAAGAACCGGCGAAAGAAACTCAGCGGGCTTTTTTTTTTAAAATAAGCAGTTTGACATAAATTCATTAAAAATACAATATAAGAACTCCGATTGAAAGAGCCTGGAGCGATCAGTTCATTACCAGAGTGTGTTATCATTTAAATAATCATTAATATTATAGTAGCCTTTAACACACAAACGTTCTTTTACTATTTTTTTAAATTTAGCTATTGATGCATTTTGAACGTTTTCTGGAATTTTGTTGTAGTAACGTATACATTGTCCCATAAAAGATTTACTTATTTTACGCAGTCTACTTGTGGGTAGGATCAATTTATTTTTGTTCCTAGTATTTATATCATGAACATTATTATGTCTTAAAAATTTATCCTTATTTTTATGGACATACAAAACCTTTTTAAAAAATGTATTGAGAAGCAACAGTCAATACCTTTATCTCTTTAAACAAGTTTCTTAACGATTCTTTGGGGCCCAGATTGTAAACTGCACGAATAGCTCTCTTTTGTAAGATAAAGATTGTATTAATGTCGGCCGCGTTACCCCAAAGCAGAATGCCATAAGACATTATACTGTGAAAATAACTAAAATATACCAAGCGAGCCGTATCTACATCAGTTAACTGTCTTATTTTTTTTTTGTTCACTGTTGCATGAATAGGCAGGTCCGTCCAGGGGAGTACCACGAACTCACAAAAAACCGGCGTGAAGTGGATGTGTTACACTTATGCGATTCGTCTGATGAGTGAGGTAACCGGGGTTGACTTGTTAAAAGGTCAGCGCATCTTCAACCCCATGCAATGCGAAATCATCATCTCCCTCTATGCTGCAAATGTCCATGGGCGGCGGTTATCACTTAACATCAGATGAACCGTCGCTTGCCACAGCTCGTTTGCCACATTCTCGCGTAAAAATGGGCTTAGATATATACGCTTATAAGCTTTCTTGGTTAAAGTGTTTACCATCATCTGAAATATTATTTGGAAAACAAGTGGTTCAAGAACTGGACAATGCGTAGCACAAAACAATAATACAAACTGAACAGTGGCCAAGACAATCGCGCACGCTATGCAATGCGAAAACAGCTCACTAATTGCATCGTCGCGATTATTTATAGCGCCGGGGGCTTAGAATACTTAGAAGTGCGATGCGAGTGCACGTATTGCATATTAAAAATTTCAAATGGTCGCTGTCAACGCTTGCAATTCATCGCATAATTTAGTGGTCACTTCTAGGCACTAAGAAAATTCCTAAGTTACTAGGAAATTCCTTTACGTGACATTACAATCTCAAGTTTTGACAGGAGGTGAGGTAAAATGTGAATTTACTGTACATATATCTCTGCACGTAAGGAATCCGAAAAATGACAAACTTATTGCTGCACGCAACTCGTTAAGCATGAATTTACATCACATTATTTATTTACCATGTATGTACTATGTAAATGTACCATACATTCCATAGATAAAATATTAAGCCTAAACATCGTGTTATCTCTATGAGTACTGATGAATGCAAATCCTATAAAAAAATACAATGCTGTAGTCAACTCTGGCCTTCACAGAGAAGGCTCTTAGAGCCGATACACCATCTATGGCTTCTTCGCTACTTATCACCAGATGCTATAATTTTAAGCACTGCTATTAAATACATTTGAACTTAATTTCATACGTGATAGTCCTGGCTGTTAATCTATCTGGTATGATATTTTAGCTTTCAGTTTTAAGTCTAAACGTCACCGAATAACTTCAGAATTCTTGGACCGATAAAGTTCAGATTCACAGTATTTTTGTACTTATTAATTTATTTATTTTCTTTTTTATGGTACAAGTTCGCAAGCGGTTTACTGGAAGTTACAGCCGAGTGGCTATAGTGGCAAACCTTTATTAGGGCAGGTATCGGCTACCTCACTCTCTAGGGAAAACGCCAAAGAACACGCAAATAATCTTACATAAATTCACCTCACAAAAGGCCGTGGATCTTCTATCGACTATCATGCCAGTTCGTGCAAAAAAATTATATTGCCCCGACACAGTAACCATTCTAGGTGTGCTTAGCATGCCGTGATGAGACATGTGCTTAGTATGATAAGGTTCCTATCCTATCATACTAAGCTGCTTAAGTATTAGTATTTAGGCAGCTTAGTACATAAAAGTACTGGAACTTGAAGATGAATTAAAAATTGAATCTAAGGGACGGCACAAAGCTCCATGATTTCCCTTAAGCTATGAATAAACTACGAGCTAAGACAAATACAGATGTTGTCACTAGCAAAATAAACATTTTAAATAATTATTAGCATCGTATACATGACAGTAAAATATTCTGCTAAGATAAGCGTGCGTAAAGACAACATTTAATCGGGACGGCAGATATCGGATTAAGGTCGATTGGACCTATAGATATGTTACAGTAAAAGATTCAGACAACATTTAGTTCAAAAATTTTAGCTAAGAAATCGTTGTTTTGGACACATTAGTTATTTTTAATGTGAATAGTTGGCAAGTGAGCTGTCGGTTTAATTCGTGGTTGGGAGATGATTTGCTAACCTTTAAAAACAAGCCAAGTGCGAGTCGGACTCGCGCACGAAGGGTTCGGTACAAATAAAAACGGTAAAAAAAATTATATCTTGTATGGGAGCCCAACTAATAATACTTTTATTCTGTTTTTAGTAGTAGTCATCTGTGAAAATGTCAACTGTCTAACTATCATGGTTCATGAGACAGCCTGATGACAGACGGATACATAGACGGACAACAGTCTTAGTGATAGGGTGCCGTTTTACCCTTTGGGTAAGAAACCCTAAAAAGGTGAGACCCAGTTACCTCACTTACCATACGGATTTTCACCCTGGTGTTCTATGCGGCCGTGGGATTACCCCCGTGACAGCACATTCTTGCAACAACAAAAGCTGCTCTGTGGCCCTACCATTAAATATAATAATAATAAATTTATTTATTTCTATAGTAATAACAATACAGATCGTTTATACTCAGTTATGGTACGTTACAATAAGAGACAATGAGCTACACTGTGACTTCCAAACTAGGCAGTACTAAACTATTTAACAGTTCCATACGATTTAAGTATCGATACTTATTTAGTATTAGTAGTGTTGGCAACACTAAAGGAAATCATTCCTTGAGGTTGTTGGCAATACTAAAAGAAGTGTCATAGAAGCTGCAAGAAGCATTTCGTCGTCTTCGTCGTAGTTGTCGTCTTCTTTGGCTGTCAAACCAGAAGTATACACGATAGTGCTGCCCAATCGGTATCATAAATTAAAGAGTGGTGTTTCATTAGTGATATTAAAGGGTAAAATAAGTAATTAATTATACCAGTGTTATTGTTGTGCAAAGTGAAACTACGGTGATTTGGTAAAAGTATTTATACCTTCTTAGCTCGATAAAACAAAGTATAGCTAACAGTAGTTAAAAATTTAATTGTCGTATTACTATATAGTAAATGGTTTTCTCTTAACATTCATGATAAAATTGCGTTACGCGACATTTAACGTAGTTTGCTTACTTGAATGATTCAACTAAGATTGTCACCTGACTATTAAAGACTATTAAAACGTCATCGCAGTCGATGGAACGCAGTTACGAGTACATAATTTTGCTTTATTAAATTATTTCTAATTCAGAAACAGTATGAACCAAGTATTAACTAAGAGTATTTAAATATGGAAAAATTTATGTCATTAAATTAGATTGCACTTTTTGTTTTATCCTTATTCTAACCCACATCTGCAGCTGTGTCCAAAGTATTAGTTCCTATTTGTAAAATAGGCGTACCTATATCTACAATAATAAACATAAATATACTTCGCTATTCCGAATTCTCGTTACGCCTTTGAGCATAACGTCAATCGTCAACGTAATCACCACACCGTCATTCAAATCGAGTCCTATTGTTGACTAGGATGATATCTAGTCTACCCAGTGCTTTTTTGTTTTTGTAAAGAATCAAATAAAGGAAATATTACCTAGCATCACGAAAGCAGCTATGATTACAATGTCCAAACATATAAAATATGTTAAGACTTTCGTAAAAAGTATCAAATTAATTCAATGTATGCGCTGTAATATCATTACAAAAATTCTTTAAGAATTATCAAGCGTTTTCTAGAAAACTAACCCTATCACTGGATGCTTTAAGCTGTCGCTATTGCCATTTATTATTAACCTACCTTCAATGTACGCGTAGTAATATAATTTTCGAGTGTTTTCTAGAAATTAACTCTATCGCTAGATGATTTAAGCTATTGTATTGCCGTTTGTTATTAACCCCTACGATGCGAGGGTGTAAAACGTTTGACATTATAAACAGCGGCCCGTCTAACCCCCGACTGCCGAAAGGTTAATCATCTTCTAATGATAGTGCCGAAACCCTAAATCGCCCTTCACGGCGGTGTGCACTTTTGCGCGTAAAAAGCGTAAAACAAGCCTCGTTCAAAGGACATGTGACTTTATAGTATCGCTCCAATGGCTCGAACCCGTCCTTTGATGGTCGCTATACGAAAATGGATGCTCATTTACGTTTCGTGTCGGGACGAGCGATCGGATATTTTTGAATCTCTACTCTATAGTTAATTTCATTTTATATGTATGTGGACAAAGAAATCTGGGCTCGGACGATTGGCTTCAGCGTCGAGAGTCTAAGGTTCGATTGCCATAATGGAGACTAGTGTTTGTGTAACTCACAGATAATTTTTCCTGTACTAGGTGTTTGTTCCCAAGGTATCAGGCAAGCGGCAGGTATATAAAAAAAACCTAGCCATTACCATTTAGCAACATGATTCACATGATATGCCGAATAAAGAAGAAAAATGTGTATGTATATATATATATGTGTATATATGTAATAGCTATATATACTAGTATATGTGTATATTTATGTAATATGTATGTAATATTTTACATATTATCATATTCTTTACTATCTCATCTGGCTCTTTCGCACCTCCTTATTCTTTCTGCTTATTTGTCGGTTGACTGGTAGAGAACACCTAATGGTGTTAAGTCCGCCATTGTACGTTATTGTGCATAAAGTTTTTTTTTAAAAAATAAAAAAATAAAAAAGAATGTTGAGAAAGAAATTGTTTGTGGAAAACAAGACAGTCTCTAATTGTATCTCGTCATGGTGGTTACTGAGAGACATTGATTTCTGAGGATATGGGCAGAGGAGTCTTTAGGTAACTCATAAGCGATTTTAAAAAATAAAACTCAAATTTTATCAGCAAATAAAATATTTCAATTTTCAAGTCAATTGGCAGTAAATATTATTGGACTTGTTAATAGGACTTATAGGATAACTTAAGCAACTAATTGGTGCTTGACGTCACGCTAATTAACGACTTAGAATGCGATAAATACAAGAACAAACTCGTCAGCAGGACTTTTTATTATATCGAAAAAAGGACTAAAAAGTTCCCTACCCTTGGAAGCACCAAATTAACATTCATAAATTCAAAGTGTAGATTTCGGTCTAACTGCACAATGGCAGAATTACCGCCTCCGCGGACGAAATACTGGCGGCCGAAAAAAAGGCAAGCGAGAAAATGACAAAAAAATACCAGAAAAGTGAAAAAAACACGCGACATATGAAAGTGGAACGTTTAAAAAGATTTAAAACTGTCACCCCAAAAGCCACGGAGCGGCGGCAATTATTTGCCTTCTGTCGCCGCGAAAAACAAACAACTCTTTATAGCCGGCATTGTTTCACGGCCCCCGGTTGCGGCCTCGTCTTCCCGCGGGCCGGGAGCTCCTGATTGCCGGGGCCCCCGCGCCAAATTCATTCTATTAACTCGTCTCATCACCGGCTGATAGAATTTAATTTTCCCCATCCCTATAATACAGGGCTGTCGCAAACATTTAGGAAAAATATAATTTAATACGAAGAAGTTTGGTACTATCTTGCAGACCCTTCTCTACAGTCTTGGCAGGTTGCTATGGTAATTTAGATGTTCATAAGAGAACAAGCCTAAATTTAATAAATAAATTTTGAATTTAGCTAACTCCAGACACTACAACTGAACTAAGTTTATACTCTGAAGATTTAATTTTAATAAATTATCAAATTTTAATTAAGGTTTAATTTTAATAAAGTATGTTATGAATTTCGTGACTCGTGACTGTAATCGTGCTCGTTTTCTAAAAGCGATAATACTTTATTTGTATATCTTAATAAGAGAGGCTTAATGACGTCATTGGAAGTGAATAAAAAGCCATCTGTGTCTAATCAATTTGGTCGCGGTATCGGAACTCGTTTGTCTATTGCGTATAATAGACGCTAACTTTGATCCGACAAAAAATGCTCGCGCGTAAGTTACGCCGAAGTTCGACAAGGACTAATGAAAGGACTAATGCTAACCAACCCTAAGTTAACCTCGCGTTGGGGTGTTCGCGTTACAATGTAAACTGGCGATACTGGGGTGGCCCGCCTTGTAATTTCACCAAATTTTTATCCCCAAAATGCGGCAGTTAGCCGGAGACCCCTCGGATGGCAGGCTTTTTATCGAATCCATTGTCGTCCTAAGACAGGGAAGGTTTATTAAATAGATGCTCTGATTCCCGAAGCATTGTCTCGAAAAAAAAAAATTGTTCGGTGACAAATTGAATTGACGGTTATACTTGGCCGCCGCTGAGAAAACACTAAAGAATGTATTAATTTGACTCAAGTCTTCCTAGTTTTGATTAATAATTTAAAACGTAGAAAACTATTTTAAAGGTTATTTATACTCTATGATTAAAATAACCATTGTACAAATCTTTTCATGTAAGACCATTTCTTTTTGTATACACTGTATCTATAAATTACAAATAAATAAATATGGAAAGCAAAATTAAATTTAATCTTATGCGTAAAAAATAGCCAAAACAATAAAGCGATAGAATTTGCCATCCTTTATACCTAAATTGGAAATACAAGACAAATGGAATATTTTCAAGACCTTGGCTTCACGATTGGTTGTCGATTTTTCCAACACTAACGAGTCAAAAAAGTTTTTATACAAGCGCTACAATTAAACGCTAAATACCGATGAACAACTGCGAACATGATTATGATGATGTAAGCGTGCATACGTAAAGCTTAATACAAATATTCCTAACAGCTATATCACAATTAATATTTCGGGAAATCCCAGTGGAATACAAGAGCAATGGAGTCGCTAACTCATTACATTGCCATATATCACATGCTCAAGTTCTCTCATTATGCTCGTGTCGACTAAAAATCAAACTAGTTCTGTAGAACTATTAGTAAAACTATTGTAATGAAAATATTTTAACGTGAATATTTGAATTATTTAATATTGCCACTATTTTCATAAATCATAGTCAATCAAGTATAGAGTTATACTGGTATAACAAATATTCATAATTCTGTCCATAACTACGGTCCACATTGTTTGATCATAATACAATATTAGAGAGCCGTGATAGCTCAGTGTCCGGGCGCTCGCCTTTAATTCAATATACTCGAGCAACCTGAGTTCGATCCCCGGTGCCGGCACCAATGAAGTTTTTAACTTCAGTGCTGACTTATCACGTGCTCCGCGGTGAAGGAAAACATCGTGAGGAAACCTGCATATTTTCGAAATAATAACAAAAAAAAAATATATTTCGAAGATATGTGAAGTCCGCCAATCCGCAGTGGGGCCGCGTGGTGGACTATGCCCTGATACCCTCTGTATAGAGGAGGCCTTTGCCCAGCAGTGGGACATGTATTGGCCTATTACTTTAATACAATATTAGAGGAGAATATTTAAAATTAGAATTTTGAATTATTACCTTTTCGATTTATTAAAAGCAGTAATGTATCTTCATGTTTCTTGTAAACGTAAAAAAAATTGCGCAGACAATTTCAGAAGTACGACAATAGAGGCGAACACCAGCTATCTCGATTTCATTGAACCGCACGGCGGGCCAACAACACAAAAGGGAACGATGAGGTATGCGCGGCATGTGTCCCCGCTTTTCACGAGCGCGGCGTTTGTCAAAACGCTCACGTTTCCCGCGCTTCCGGTCGGCGGCCATTTTGAAAAGATGCGCTTCCGCCGTCCGGCGGCGTTGCTGCCCTCTAATTCGGAAGCTGCGGCGCGGCCGGTTCCGGCGCAAAATGCTAAGTAAGCGAATTAAAGCCCCCCGCGGACGTGCGCCCACCGAAATTGCCCACAACGTGTGGGGAATGACACGTGTTTTTGTTTCATACGTTTCTCTCTGTTGTTCAATCAGGACAAAGCACGATGCAAAAAATAATAATGTTATGCTACGTATATTTTATCTCTGTGATGATCAGTTGTTGTTTTTAACCGACTTCAAAAGGAAGGGAAGGAGGTCTCAAGTCGACCGTATATTTGGTAGGGCCACGCAGCCGCCTTGGCTGTTGCACGAATGGGCAGGCTCGTCCGGGTAAGTACCATGACCTCGCAGAAGACCGGCAAAGTAAATATTTTTTTATGTGTATTGGCGGATAACTTCGTCGTTTATGAACCGATTTTGATGATTATTTTTTTGTGGGAAAGGAGATATCCCAAGGGTGGTACCATGATAAGAAAACCAGGATCTGAACCCAGAGAATCGAGGGAAATTTTCAAATGTTATAGGTATTAACAATGTTTTTTAGTTTCCGGTTAGAGGCTAGTTTTTTTTTTATTAAAAATTATAATTTTTTCTTTATTTTTGGATAAGGTGGTTAAATAACAGGCGGTTCACCTAGTGTTAACTAATTCCCGTCACCTGTAAATATCAAAAACACCCACAGTTGCGTTATCTCATTTTAGAAGTGGGGCCCCGGTTTTTATAGACTCTCCTTTTCGTTTTCCTTTAACATATTTTCCAATAATGAATTATTACAGTGCAAACCAATGAACAAACCCACGAAGGTGGTTCCAATCACTAACACTTGGGCATTCCGCGGGCGTATTTCAATAGCGCCGGGACTAATTGAGTTCTCGATCGCATTAGACATTAGAACCGCGCGCTGTCCCCCGCTGCGAGGGCGAATCGCGCCACGACAAAAACCGGAGTCGATTTTATCGCGGAAATCCAATTTTCTCCCCAGCACGCCGAAGACGGCGGGAAAAAAGCGCCAAGTAGAATGACGCCGCCATTCCGAGCAATGGCGCGCCGTGTTTAAGCGAAACACGAATAAGGAGGCGCCGGATTGGCTTAATTTGAATTTTCAACGGCGCTACGTCGTGTCGGATGTAGGGTGGCCGCGCTGCCGTCGTGCATTCGGGATAATTAATTCGGCCCTGTTATAATTCTTGGATGTAAAAGCGTTCCTGCTATGTTTATGATACGTATACCCTTTATTGTTACGATCTCAGTAGATTCGCAGCTGCATGGATCTTTTTGATATCATTGTAAAGGTGTCGTCTTAAATTGCTTTTAATTTTATATTCCTTTTCACTATCAGCTTATATCTAGAGTTTATTATTTATGTTTTTGTTTATATCACGAAGGAGCAGTTAATTTATTTCGAATAAATGGTTGAATTAAAACTTTACCAATTAGGGACAAAAACATTGTATGTCATTTGTATTTTGTATACCTTCTTGTACTTTTTATATAAACTTTTTGATTGTACATATATATGATGTCCTAAATATTTATTTATTTATTTATATTGTTTCAATTACCTTACGAATAAATTTTAATTACCAGTCATTGAATTTAGTAAAAGCATTTTTAATAAGGGTCTTATTAATTTCACCAAGTATAAAAGTGAATGCACAATTTATTTAGCGTCCGACAGGTTTATTTTAAATTATTCTAAAAACTAACAGTCTCTAAGTCAAAACTTCTGAGTTCAAATCGAGATTTGATGAATGATAATCTAATATCACTAATCAAATAGACTAGTTTATAATTGTCCCCCATTATCATCTCAATATGTATTATCATATATCAACTTTCAATTGAAATTACTACGAACAAATCCATTTTTTTATTAACGAAAAACAAAACCGACTTCAAATGTCTCGCATTGTATTAATTTTACAATTGATTTTCAGGAGTTTCCTAAGTAGATACTTAGGAAGCCCAAGATTCAATACCAATGAAATTAATATGGGTCCACAGGGGAAGCACCAGCTTTCAAATAAAAAAGAATCATCTAAATCGGTTCACTCATTCGAAAGTTCTGAAGTTACAAACATTAAAAAAATACAGTCGTGTTGAGAACCTCCTCCTTTTTTGAAGTCGGTTGAAAACTCTTTCAACCGAGGCGTAAGGATGGGGATTCCCGAAGCTTTCTTGAGTCCGTAACATAAATCGCATTCATGGCTGCACTAGCTCGGGCGGGTGCATTTGGAGCGTCGGCTCGTGGCCCAATTAATTTGGAGAGATTCGCAGATAGCGTACTAATTTCGTTAGCCGCTCACTTCGCCCGCGCGCCCCGTTCGCCCCGTCGTTAATCTTCCGCCTCGTGGTCGGGAAGCGCCCGCCTCGGATCATTAAATGGCGACGGCGTAGGTCGGTTGTGCCCCGACGGATTGTGGCGACGGGTACAAGGTTCTGTTTGTTTTTATTAAGGTACCAGCGACCCGCCCCGGCTTCGCACGGGTGCAATGTATTATACATATAAACCTTCCTCTTGAATCATTCTATCTATTAAAAAAACCGCATCAAAATCCGTTGCGTAGTTTTAAAGATCTAAGCATACATAGGTGCAGAGAGACAGCGGGATGACTTTGTTTTGTACTATATATTGAGGTGATATGTATACATGTATATTAGATTCTCATAGAAACTTTTACGTTTAGTCAGTTGTAAGATCAGTGGTTTTATTTTTAAATAATAATATCTATTTGTCCCCGCACGATGTGTAAGCTTTATTCTAAATATGAAGTAAAAAATGAGAAATCTGCTTGTTAAATTCAATTTGGAAAACCTTTTCACTACGTGCAAGATCACCCCTGAGAAAAAGAAAAGTTTTACTTTGGCTTTTCAATATCTTTAGACGAAATTGCTGAAGGACAAAGCTGATAGATATATTTTTCGGGCATTCGTTAAAAATAATCGATAAAACATACATATAATCGCTAAATATGTGTTACTTAAGTACTTAATTAATATAATATTTGATGACTGGCGACACGCTGTCGCGAAGGTATCGACTTCGACGTTGAGGGTTGGGTTCGATTCCCACACGGAACTTGTGTGACCCACAGATAGTTGTTTCGCATCTGGTTATTTGTCCGCTTGAAATTTATCTTTGCAAAAACGTCCTTACAACACAGGGTAATGCTATCCTAAAATAAGGGCAATATCAAAAAAAATGTGTTATTTTTATCCACACGGTGAGCAAAGAAGCATCGAGTATAAAAATATTCGAAATCAATCTCAAAGTAGGACAATCAGTACGCGATGAGAGGAATGATTAAATAATGAACATTAACATATTGTGCTACACTTTGTGTTAAGCGAAAATTCCACATAAGTCAATTTGATTCTGAAGACAACAATTACGTGATTTTTGTATTTAGCACAGTAATAGTTTAAATTATATATGCAGATACAGTCAAACATACAGTTTGTGCTTTCTTTTTCAAGTATCAGAGATTAGGTACTTACTTCTTCTCCCTTTTCCCGGCGCCCGTATCCCGGAATCCTTTGGCGAACGGGTTGTTGTCTATCTTCAGCTGCGTTATCTGGAACAACAATGCAAGGTTACTCTTGCTACATCTACTCTCAAAAGGCTACTTTGTAGTAAACAGTGATCTCGGATTCTGACACCAATGAATTGGTTAGTTGAAGTTTTTTGAGTGTTTATTTGTCACGCTACCGAGAAACATCGTGATGAAGCCTGCATATCTTCGAGAATATGTGAAGTCTGCAAATCCGCAGTGGGGATTTGCGGCTTCACTATGCTGTGTCGCTCTTATGGACTCTAAATTCTAACTGAAGCTCTTATTAAATTCAATTGATTAACTTTCCTTAACCAAAGTTTGAAAAGAACCTCGCAATTCAGATTTCGCTGGACGACCTTGGATTTAGCTACGCTACGCCTTTAACTTACTAAAGACAATAGTTAAACTTGGGATCAGTTGTAAAATATTGCTTATTTATTTCATTAAATTGATTCCTATATTATTTCATTAAACTATACACGCACATAAGAAGCTTGATAATACCGTAGACGCTCACCGGGAATATTCCATAGATGGCGCTGCATCGTAAAATAGCTATACCATGCAAAAATATGAAGGGTATTAGGGTAGTGTATCACACAGGACCTTACATACACTATCACATTCATAAGTGACACACATCACACACACAGTGACACATCATTAAGGAGTGCGAACTAATGGTAGAGCATTTAGTGACCTTACCTTCTCGTTTTGGTACGCCGTGACCGCTATGAACTCTGTCTCCTTGAAGACGTACGTCCTGAAGGTGGAGTAGGGCAGCTTGAGGATGTCGTTGGCGCGCACCAGGTGAAACCTCGGCTGGTACTTGTGCATCGAGTTCAGGATCGTCTGCGTGACACACTTCAAACAGCTTAGGAACTTGACCGTTTAGCTTCAAATTGTACAAGTTCACAAAGATTGTTTTAATAATTAACATTAACTATAGGGGTTGAACCCTTTTTATGATAAACTAACTACGTAGGTCTGATCTCCCCGCTGGTTACAGTACCAACCCGACAGCAATTTTGCAGCAATTTTCAGCAGTCGTTTTTGAAACCAATTTTCACTGTCCACATCCAAGCGTTTTGTATGACCAACCCAGAATCCTAGGCGGGGAACTGGATTTGCTGTCACTTTATATTTAATAGATGACGAGCCAACAAATTAAATTTAGATTCGAAATCAATTTGAAAACTCTTTTCTGAGGGCAGAAGAACATCCCTAGACACGCCAGCCAATTAATGATAAAGAAGTTTTTAACAGTAAAAAGATTTTAAATAATCTTGGAAAGAATTGCCAATGTGTTTTCGATTCTTATGGCGTAATCAAGGCAATGATGCGTTCGTTTTTACGCCTACGACGCTGCTGACAACAATATTGTATAGGCATTACGAAATAAACAGATAGTTGCAAAACACTTGCAAAAAAGTGTAAAATAATTAGTTATTTTCAGACAATCACTTATTTATATATGGAATATCTAAAATCAGTCTTAGTTCCAAAGTAAGGCTAAGGTTATTCGACGAGGTCACAAATATAACTTTGATTATGAGCCTTTGAACAAGTGCAACAATCATAAAGCTATGAAATGAAATATCTTATCTGATCTCAGGGCCGTCGTAACTTGTCAATTCCAAACAATACTAAGGCTGTTCTCAGAACTAGTAAAAGAAACGTCGGTCAAGCCACAAAGAATAAAAAATGGATTATATTTATCTCACGATCTTGTCTTTGTAAAAAAATAATTTGTTTAATTTGTTCATATTTTTTCGAAATTTCGAACCATTAAAGCCATAGTTATGGTAACGGGAAAGTGCACTACAATCATGAATGATAACAAAGTGTTAGGTGAATATCTATTATATAAAGAGGAAAGATTTGATTGTTTGTATGTATCGAATAGGCTCCGAAACTACTTAACCGATTCGAAAAATTCTTTCATTGTTGAGAAGCTTCTAATTTTTTGAAAATATTATATAGCCTAAGTGAAGTACGGATAATGTAGCTACATTATCGCTGCTTCACATAGGCTATATAATATTTTCAAAAAATTAGGGATCCTTACTAAAACTCCAATAATGTTACTCAAGGTGTACAAAAATTACCTAAAATATTCTTTACATCGCGTGCGCTGCGAAAACTATTGATGATAGAATAAAGTAATGTACTACGACTATGCAAACCACATCATTATTTACAAAAAGTGTCGCGACAGCATATGTCTAACTATTATAGTTATGCCACAATACGTGTTCTTTTATTATAAAATTTTGATTGAAATGCCGCCGCTAACAAAGGCTATTTATTTGTATCTCGGTATTAATCCTTATAAAAATAAATTACTTCATATTTAAGACTGTTTCAATATCTTTATAAAACTTTTTGAATTATTAAATTCGGACATTCCATTCCTCAGATGTTGCAAGTTTAAAAATGTTAGTATATTGTAATTTAACTATCCAAACAGCTTAGTGACTGACTTAGTAGTTCTTATAAGTTTTCAATCACATTTATACTGGTAATTCCTGTTCAACAGTTACCAGATTATTAAATACTGAGGAAGTTAAATTTTTTTATCATTTTAAAATGCCCAAAAGATCAAGATCTCATCTTTCTAGAAATAGTTCCCAGACGAGGACATTAAAAATACGTCATAATGAAGTCGGAAAGAGTCAAGTAGTGTTTGTAGTGACTTGAAGAGTATAATAATATAAATATACAAATTCACACTAGGGAATCGAGGTCTGAGCGATCCAAACGTATACGATATTAGAGAGAAAGATAACAAACGTTAACGACTAGAGTTCGTGATCGAGTTTTAGCTCACAGTAACAGATCAGCTTTCATGCATTTTGCTCAACAGTCTTCCGTCCAAATCGTAGCCACGAATAAGATCTGCTCTAAGCGTTCTGCCAAAAATGGGTCGATGAACCAAATGGTATGTGCTGTGCTTCTGGAAAAGTTAGTCCCCCCAATATCGAGGAGCCGCCACAACCAATAAAAAATCTTTTTACAAATAATCATTCATCCATCAGGACATTTTAAACCAACATCCGAAAGTATAATAGCCTCTTTCAAATGACTTCGTTTGACGCGAATTTTTAAAATAGAGGGACAAGTATACAAGTTATTATCATCCTCCTGCCCCTATCCCACCAAGGTGGGGTCGGCACAACATGAATCATGTTGTAAGTGGTTTTGCCTATATTTTTACAACCAGCCGCCTGCTTGACGTCAACCCTCCTTGGGAAACAAATACCCAGATCAAATTTCAACTGTGTAACTATCATGGTTCATAAGATACAGCCTGTTGACAAAGTGACTAACAGACAGCGGAGTCTTAGTAATAGGGTCCCATTTTACCCTTTGGGTACAGCATCCTAAAAAGGCTCCAGAGATATAGTGTTGCACGGTAGACACGGCCAACTTAAAAGGGGCTCTGAGTTACACCGATTGTATGATCCATAAAAATATCTCTTAATAGTCGTAATAGGAGAAGACGGTTAATATTTGACTATTCCTCAGCAAGGTACTGTGCGTAACAAAACTATGATGACATGCATGCAATTGTATGCATTTAGGTTGATGGTTAAAGCTTCCTGTTTTAAGCCATTGCATTATTACTGGGACTTATCAGGGTTCCGTACCCAAAGGGTAAAACGGTACCCTATTACTAAGACTCCGATGTCCGTCTGTATGTCCGTATGTCTGTCCATATGTCACCAGGCTGTATCTCATGAATCGTGATAGTTAGACAGTTGAAATTTTCACAAAAGATGAATTTCTGTTGCCGCTATAACAAAAAATACCAAAAAACAAAAGAATATAAATAAGTGGGGCTCCCATAAAGCAGACATAATTTTTTGCCCGTTTTTATAGATAATGTTGACAGTAGTAGTGTTTTTGACAATATGTAAGTGTAATACTTCTATATTGAATAAAGATAATAAAACATGATTTTTTTTAATGTTTAGTAGAGTGGCATACGAGCTGGCGGTTCACCTGATGTTAAGTAATAACCGCCGACCATGGACATTTGTAACACCTGTAGGATTGCAAATGAGTTGCCATCTTTAAGACATTGGCTCATCAAATATCGGTCAACAAACCAAAGATGGGATGATTTATGTCCGAAGCTATGGGAGACCAGACTTATTTGTCACTTTTACGTGTAACCCCGAATGTCCCGTAATTAAAGCGGAACCATTATCTGGTCAGCGGTCTTTCGATCTTCATGACGTAATTTCAAGGGTATTTCATTAAAAGATGAAGAAATTCATAAAATTATTCACCAAAGACGAAATATTCGGAATATTTTATGTGTATGATAATTTTTAGTTTTAAAAAAATTGTTAAATACCCGTGCGAAGCCGGGGCGGGCCGCTAGTTCGTGAATAAAGGGAATAATTTCTCTCGTTATTTATTAAGCCGGTATTTGTGTTATATTTTCAATGTCTATTCAACACCATATATCGGTCAATTTTATTGGTCTTGTGCTCTATTAAAATTTGTATAAAAAAATGGACCAAGAGTTTTTCGCCGAATCGTGCCCAGGCGTTTTGAACACTAAGCTAAACGGCCGATTGCCACACTGACGAAAATCGCAACGTATTTTTATCGCATTTTAAGCAATGCTTGGCTCATCTATTGTTATATCCTTTACAGCACATAAGAAAATTGGATGAAAAGTTTTTCGCGGCTGCGGCCTTGTGGTGTGCAATTCGACTTTTTTAAAAACTATTAACGAAATGTCATTTGTCAAACGTCATGCTAAAGGCAATGGTGACTGGCAGGCATGAGGTTTGACGTATTAGTCTCTTAATTAGACGAAAAAGTAGTCGCGTGTTTTCAACTCCATAATTCCATCGATTCGTCTGCATCCGCCCGTTGGCAGGCGTCACTACTCCTAAGTGCATTCATTGCGAACAATTCCGCTAGCAACGCGGCCCGATGCCTCGCCTTATTGGGAGCAACAACAATTGGTCGCAATTCGTCGAATCGCCATCCAACAATAGTCGCAATTAATCAGAAGCACTCGTCTCCTCTCCCACTTCATTACGGGCCACTTGGAAATTTTGCATCTGCATCGGATCGTACCCTTCACAGAGACTCGACAAACTGTTGACGTCTATAACGAGGCTGAATCGAATGGGACAATAAAAACTGAAACCGAATATTGCGGATACATCTTTTGTCTGTGGGTTCCGTGATATTCCCTAACGCGTAACTCTAATGGTATAGACAGGGATAGCAGATGATATACAAGTTTCCCAAGCCCGTAATTGTCGACGTAAATGAGAGACAGTGGTTTTTGAACGTGAAAATCCGAATAGATAAAAAAAACATTCGATGCATGACGCCATGATCGGCTAGTTGCCATTACTGCATGCCCTTCCTCTGTTTTGATTTATACTTTTTAACTTTTTCCTCACTTTGAAACAAATATATGTGTAAGCTACAGATAATTGTTTTCAGTCCAGGTGTGCGTCCATGTACAATTTTCCGTGGGAAAACGCCTGACCAACAAAGGATATTTAAGGTTGTCCTGGTAGTAGTGGTTACACAATGTAAAGAAATCTAAAGAAAATTAGTAGACGAGCAAACATTTCACCACACCACCAGATTCATCGCCGAAGTCCATAGGCCTTGTGGACTTTGGGAGAGTTATATTATTATTACAGTAAATCCGATATAATTTTCTTCTATTAATTCGATAAGTAGGAAAGGACTATTGGCAACGAACTACACTCATTAATAATGGACTTACTTTCGTAAGGAAGTTATTACAGGTCGCTGGAACAACGTGATAGTTTTCACCCCATGTATCATTAAGG